TATTTAAATCAAGCATTAGATGTTGATAATGAAAGTCCCGAAGTGTATCAGTTATTGGCATCTGTGAGACTTTCGCAGGAAAGAATTGAGGAGGCTAAATTGGCTTTGGAGAAGAGTATGAGTTTCTGGGCGAATAAAGATTTAGGTATGATCACTTTAAGAGTGTTGATTTATTAGAACGTTTGGGAAAGCTTGTTTTTCAGACCAAGTAACCGACTTTTTTTTTTTTTAGGTGATCAGTCTATGCCATCTTATGAACTACGTATATCACTTGTCAAGCTGTTATTAGAATTGGCTGAATATTCAAAAGCTCTTGATGTCTTGAGTGATCTTCAGCAAGAAAATGATGAAGTAGTAGATTTGTGGTATCTTTATGGATGGTGTTATTACTGCATGGGTGAAGGAACTCAAGATGAGAATGAACGAATAGTAAACTGGAAAGATGCACGAGATTGTTTGACAAAGTGCAAAAAGGTTTGTCATCATTTTGATGTTGGTTCATGAATGCTACATAATGTTTAATATCATATTCAATCCGGTCTAGTTATACCATAAATTAAACACTGAAGACGAAGGTATCTTACAACATACGAAAGAACTACTTCAGAGTATAAATTCTATTGTACAAATGGCACCATCAAATGCAGAAGATAATGAGGAAGTTGGGGAAGAAGATAGTTGGGAGGATTTTAGTAGTGATGATGATGCCGCAAATGAACAGAATGAAGATCCCATGGAGCTATGAAAATGGAAGATTTCACCATTATAGTTCACAATACAACGACTCGAATAATTTATGTTTGTAATTCGAATTCACGAGTGCCTATTTATTATTCAATGCGAGATATGTGCAATAAAAGATGTATGTATTACCAGTCCAAATAATGAATAATCTACATAATAAAAAAAATGTAATCTCTCATGAATAGGCATTCATGTCAAATAGTATATTTGCTTTAATAATAATAATTGAACCATAACTATAACTGTTATTCAACATTCTCAAGGTGATTTACCTATACCTTAATGGTAACAAGTGATAACATACTATTGAAGTTAATATAATGGATATTATTAGAAAATGTTATTGGTTTTTTTCCTCTCACTTTTAAAGCAGCGTGTCGGATATGTATCTGTTGCTCAATTACTCGTGCCTCTTTTCTTTCCTTCTTATTTGTCCAGCACTGCCAGTTATTATTGTGCTGATCAATGTTTAAGTTAATCGTTTCCATCAACGGTTCGGCAGAACAGTCAGAATGATGATGTTTGTATAGACCGAGTTCTAAAAAACTGCCTTTCGCTTCAAGCGTTTTTGCAAATTATTGATAATTTATTTAAACTTCAGCAATGCACGTTTACAATTAAATAACAGCACGTAATTATATGTAAGTTTTTACTTGTTTTAATATAATGTGACAAAAGACAGGAGCGATTTTTAACTGTAGACAAGGAATCGAGTGTAACATCTTATGTCTGATGAAGTTTGAGGCAAATTTATGAAGAAAAGTGTCATTAGAACATTGATTACGTATAACAGAAACGATCAATTCTTGTGGCGTACGTGTAAAAAAAAGCAGTAAGAAGTCGGTTGATAAATTATTTTGCAGTAAAGTGATTGTTAAATTAACTATTTAACTTTCTATTCTCTGAAAATTGCAAGTTGTGCGGTTTTATTGATTTTCTATAAAAACACAGACATTATGCGAAAACAGATATAGTTTTTTCTACTGCAATATTATGTTAGCCTAATTATTGGTTTTCTAATGTCTCATATATTAATAGCCAAATAACCTTAAGGTGTAGAAGCTATTCGGCAGAGCTGTGCACAAAGTGCATTGTATTAGCGAAATGCTTGTTTTATACTTCGGCGTACATACACTGTCGAAATAAGTAAAAACGTCCAGGGAGAAATTTTACATATAGCCCATTATCCGGATAATAAGTATATTCTTTAACAAAATTTTTAAAATATATCGTCTGCCTTGCGTCCTGTTGCATTTAGTATCACAAACTCATCCCTATTATCGTGAATAACGTAATCAAAATTTTTTTGCGACTTTTGGTTTTATTATACTTCGTCGGAAAACAAGGTGCACGAATATTTCGATCGCAGGTCCTCCGAATGGACTATTACCGGGTTTCTTGACGAATGCGACGCAAGTTTGTTCACTGATAAGATCGGATGTTACCTCACTTCTCTCGAGAACATCGTTGAAAACGACACTGGAAATAGGCATAGAAAGGCGCAGGAGTTGTATGCTCGTTATAAACAGGCAAGCTCAAGACTTTTTTTTTTTTTTTTTGATTAAAAATATCGATAGGTAATTGGTGGCGTGGCAGGGATCTCCAAGATTTCTGACATTCAAGTCTCCAAGACGAGCTACGAAGCTAGTGCTAGGGCACTGGTAATCTCTAAGATTGTCAGATGTTCAAGTCTCTAAGATGACCTAGTACTGGCCCCATCGGAGCGCAGGCAATCTCTAAGATTGTCTGACGTTCAAGTCTCTAAGACGATCTGGTGGGATGAAAAAAATCAGATAGAAAGTGTAAGGTACTAGTCAAGGATACTGTTAATTTTCCAAGTTCTCCTGTCCTAGGGTGCTCGGCCTGATCGCCAACTAGCAAGAGATTGGCAATCAGGAAAAAGCAAATGGCACGCTAATTTGGATAAAGTCTGAAACTTTCGAATCCCCACAAAGTGAAAATGTTGATAATTACATCCTACAGGACAGTTCGTTGGAAACACAGGTGAGGGTACCGCAGATGAATGTTCTACCTATATCACCTAAACGACAATTTCCCAATTTCTGTTCTACCTAAAGACCCGGAAGAGAAACAAAAACACGTTATTAAAATGGTATTAGAGCGATTTCCTTATTTAACTCTGAAATATAGCTTTAAAAATAATTACTTTGATTTTAATAGATCAGTACCCTATCCTTTATGTAATAAGAACCATAAAAAAGAAAATATAAAATATAATGTAGAAGGTAGTGGTGATTATGTCAATACAAAAACGTATCGTCTCTATTGTTATATAAATAAATATCAAAATTCAATTCCAATAGTAACAGTAAAAGCATAGATAATTTCGAATATTAATGTCATTGACCAACTTAACTCGATATTCGCTAGCATAATCAATTTTTTCGGATATCGGGTATATAATAGAGTATTAAGTCGTATAATCACACCAGGAAATTAATTATATGCTTGTAGCACACCCGAAATAGATTCAAACCAGCAGGCTATGCATGTTCCACGAGATATGTCATTTCTCCGAAATAGATTTAAAACCCATGACATCACTCCCCTGGGGCCATTATAACGTGATGTGATTTGTGTCAGAGGTATTAGCACCATTATGCGAAGCATGGGCAAGGCCCTATAAAGCTCGATATTTAACTTTACCTTTTACTTTACACTTTAGAATGGGGCGTTTCATATGTATAACTTCTATTCCCAAACTGGAAAAAGCGCTTGACGTCGGAAAAACAAATCGAAGATAGCCCTGTTTAAATTTAAAAATAGTATTATTCCCCTTCGATTCTTTGGTAGAATAATTGTTGTTATTATTTTACTAGAGGTACCCTTATTTGTATTCATGAGTGTTTGAAACTCGGATAGGGAGTGAGAAGCGCGCATTTAATTTAATTATAAAATTAGGTCACTTGAGGCTTAATTCAGTCTTAATTGCACAACTATCGTAGTAAGGGCGATAGTACGAGCTAAGCCTGGTAACATCCCCCGGTCGGCAAACACAACTACACGAAAGATAAATCGCTCTCCCAAAAACCCCATTTATTTTCCGACCGTAACAGTATTATACGATGTGCTTCCCTGCATGTCAATATGGGTTGAGTTGACAAGATGCCGAAATAAAATCGTGCACGTTTACTGTTAGCTGCCTTTGGGTTAGATCATTTGAATATGGAAGAAATATAGAGTGCATTATTTAAACCGGTAATCCTGAATAAAACGCGTAGCTACATTCGCTGGACGATGAAGCTTCATTGTCAATTTCAGCACTGGCCGGATGATGTGTGCTTTCTAACGTTGTTTTATGCTCAAACCAATGCAGTTGCAAGATTATCTTCACCGTGATTACTTTCATTTGATATTTAAAACGCGACAATAGCCACTTCACGACTAGAATACAGACAAGAATTCTGGAGATGCGATAAAAGCAGAGGCCATGCCACGCCTGCTCGAGATTTTCCGACTGACACTCCTGTAAGAACTAACCTTGTTCATTCCACTGCTTATCGATGATATTACGTGAATGATGAACCATCAATCCACTCATATCCCTCGAAAATCTATCGCCACTCTTTTCATAATATTGCTGCATAGCTTTGACGCGTAATGATGGATGCAGTTTAACGATATCCAACAACACAAATAAAACTTGCCATACACAAATATGCCATCTATATGTGCCTTGATGTCGAATATGAGCCAATCTTCAAACGTTGTATATACAGCCTGAAATCATACCGATTTTAGTACAATGGTGCAGTCAAGGGTGATGTTCATTGGTTCGAAAGCCTTAAAAGGCGAAAGAGTAACACAGCATTCACT